CTGCAGCTTCACAAAATGTTACTATGGGGGAAACTAGGTGGAGGGTACATACATCCAGTCTCTTGTGTTTCTTAAAATGACACTTGAATCTATATTATCTCAAAATAAAAAGGTTTAAGTAAAATGAATTAGTAAGTATAGGACTGGGGATGTGGCTCAAGTGGTAATGCACTCGCCTAGCATGCGCGGGGCGCTGGGTTCGATCCTCAACACCACATAAAAATAAAATAAAGATTGTGTCCGCTGAAAACTAAAAAATAAATATTAAAAAATTTTCTCTCTCTCTCTTAAAAAAAATTAATAAGTATAACCCAAACACCTGTGTAGGCAATAGACTGAGGATCATTTGGGGTCAGCTATCAGGCTGTGCCCTGTTTCTGTCTTTCTCATTGCCATGGGTTAGTGTGGTTTTCAGAAACGCCATGCTGCTTCTTACCACCGTTATCCCGGAAGTGCTTCTCAAAACCTCCATGCAGTTTGGACTCTCCACCAACTGAATAGGGAAGGGAACCTGTGACTTTCTGTGTATACATCTATTTGTGGAATATTGTAAATATTACTTTAGGATATAAGTAAAAGTTTTCCTATATAAACATTGACTAGTGAACATTGAGAAATTTGGGAATTAAAAAACAAGGAGTTGTGACCTAGGCGAATGTGTACTGGGTGTGCCAGTGAATCATCCCTGCACAGCCCTCTTTCTGGCAGAAAAGGGCCCTCTGCTCGCTCTGTGGTGGGGCTGCCGGGCTGTGTGACCGACAGCTCCAGACACCAGGCTTGGGCTCATTTTTCTTTTTTTTTTTTTAATGATTATTTTTTAGTTGTAGATGGACACAGTACCTTTATTTTATTTTTATGTGGTGCTGAGGATAGAACCCAGTGCTTCACTTGTGCTAGGCGAGTGCTCTACCCCGAGCCACACCCAGCCCCTTGGGCTCATTCTTGAAAGAAAAAAATTCTTGTTATTCAAAGAAGGAAAAAGGGATGTGAGACAAGAAAATAAAGTGGCGGACACTTTTTAAGGACTTAAAGCTATTTGTGGACTGGTGCTGCATCTTCACTGCCTGCGGCTGCTTCAGGGCTTGCCTGCTGTTTGATCTCTCTTCCTTTCTGTTGGGGTTAGATTCTGACATGTTGATACCAGCAATGGGAGAAGCAAAGGCCTTGATGCTGAGAGGTTAAGTGTTGTGCCCAGCGTCACTCCCTGTGCATGTTGGGACACACTCGGCTCAGTTCTCTGTGAGATCTCAGCGTTCACAGCCCTCCCCTGAGAACAGGGCCTGGAAGGAAGGGTGGCTGGGGTGGGCCTGTGTGTGGTGCTTTTGCCCAGGGCCTTGCATGGGGAGCCTTTGGGAATCCTAGTGCCCTAGTGTTAGCTCATTTAGTTTTTTTTTTTTTTTCCAGCTTATGGCTCAGTTTTTTTTTTTTAGTGGAAGAAGCATGATCACTGAACCAGACTGCTGTTTTTCTCTGTTAATGCTGCTCACATTTAACCCAGTGAAAATGTTATTTGACTCTTAACAGGGGAAGGAGGTAGTTTTTTGCAGCAGCCTCATAAGCTCTGTGCACACTGCTAAGTTAAGAGCTGCGGCTGAGACTCCCTAGATCTCGAGCACAGGAGAGAGACACAGCTAAGTCCAGGATCACTTAACTTCTTCATTTAATCAGTGAAATATAAAAAATATTTTCTAGCTTCTTGCAGTCAGTGAAATCACATGAAGAGTATAGTTTTGACATTGCATGCCTGTATGTGTATGAAGATAACAGACAGCTACAATTTTAAAAAACTTCCCCTGAAACACTGACTTAAGAAGCCACACAGGGAGCATGCCTCATCCGGGGCAGGCCTTCTGCACTACAGGCCCTTGCCCTGGAAGTGAAAGGAGGATGGGAAGGCGGTTGTGGAGGAGGAAAAGACATCTGCACTACATGGTTCACCTGTGACCTGACTTGTGTACAGTAATCCTTGCAAGGCAGTAGTGAAGACTGCATTTTAGTGATAAGATTTTGACTTTGACTTTGGACGATCTGAATCATCGTATCACTGAATTGCTATGACGGAGAGGTATTTACTGTATCTGGCTTGGGAAGAGAATAAAGACTTTTTATTAAATTATCTTGGAGAAATGATTGAACTCTGTGATGAGAAGTAGCGACTCTGAAGACTAACCTTCCTGAGTTCTCTGCATCTCTGTATCGCCTCCTGGAATCCACAGGGCCAGGTCCCTCTGAATGCTGCTTCTCCCAGTGTGTGCCAACACCTTCTCTCTTCAGCAGGAAGTTCAAGAAATAGAGCTGAGCCTGAGTTTACTTTTTCCTGTACATTGCTTAAATTATATAGTTTCTGGATAGATAATGCACGCATGTGGTTCAAATATCAATGCCTCTCTGCCCTCCCAGCCATTCACCATCCCTTGAGCAGTCAGCGCTTCCTTCTTTCCTGTCCCCATGGTACATATTTGATGTCCTTCCATATTGTTATATAAAGTCCTCTCACTTTTTTCTTCTTCCCTTGGACCAGTATACTAGGGTTTCTTTCCCTTGGTCTCTTTGTTGATGGGCATCTCTAGTTTCCATGACCACAGGGGTGCTGCAGTGAACACTCTGTTCCTACAGGTCACATTACGTGTGTGCAGGTGTGATAATGGGGCAAGTGCACGAGCACACCTGCCAGGTCAAAGGGAAGTGCTAATTTTAGGTTTCTGAAAACCCCTCCTAGCCTCCCTTCGTGGAAGCCTCAGCCCCATTTGCTCTCTTTCCCACATCATTGCTTACAGAATGTTAGCAGTCTTACATAGTTTTGGATCTGCCAGTCCTGCTGAGGTTTAAAATGGTATTCGTGAGCTGAGCTTGGTGGCCCATGCCTATAATCCCAGTGGCTTGGGAGGCTGAGGCAGGAGGATCTCAAGTACAAAACCAGCCTCAGCAATTTAGTGAGGTCCTAAGCAACTTAGTGAGACCTGTGACTAATAAAATACAAAATAGCACTGGGGATGTGGCTCAGTGGTCAAGTGCCCTTGGGTTCAATCCCTGGTACAAAAAAAAAAAAAAGCATCAGAATTTGTGCGATAAAAGCAAAAACAGTGTTTAGGAAAGTTTATAACTTCCTGTCTTACTAATTTGCAGGACCTCAGGTCACTGATTCTAGGCCTTCCTTTGTTTCACTTGTCTGGAATCAGAGATCTGAGGTTGTACATTCTGAAGGGAGAAAAAGAAGAGCACAGTAAACCCTGAACAAAAGAGAAGGAAAGAATAAAAGACAGGACAGAAATTAGTGACATAGAAAGCAGAAAAGTGTAGAAGTGGATTCTTGCAAAAGTTGGTTAAGAAGAAAGAGGACATTCCTTGCAGATGCCATGAGAGCAGGTGTGGCTGCCACCTCCATCTTGATCTGCCCAGGCCTTCGTTGAGGAGACTTGTCCAGTGGAAACCTCTCTGAAGGCAGAGCCTGGTGCCCCTAGGCCTCCTGGTCCCCTCCCTCTGGGGCCCCTAGTGGTATTTTGCTGCCTGTGCTCCCTGAGCTCACTGCTCTTCTTACCCTCTTGCTGTTTTTCCAGGTCCTCTTTGTTCCCCCCTCATGTGACCACTTGCCCCTCTTCTCCCAGGGATTCACCGCTTCCCCTTCTCTGGTCTTCTCCCGTTCCTTCCCCAACCCACTGCTGCTTCTGTAAGCCACCATGTGTGCCTGCCTGTGGCACTTAACACTTTCTTCTGTCATGTCTGTCTGTGTGTAGGTCTTTCTGCATGGTTTGGAGAATATTTTTGGAAGTAAGGCTTGTGATGTAGCCCTAGCCTAGTAGTACTTAAGAGTATTGTGTTTTTGAATGAATGTTCTTATAGGAAAATGTTTTGATTTCCAAGTGAGTGAATGATGAATGGGCTTTAGGATCTGGGTCTTGTGGTGAGCCTGGCTTTGAGTGCATGGATTCCTGCTGATGCAGCTTGGTGTCCTAGTTGATATAAGTGCTGATCACAGTGTGCTGCAGAGAGTACTGTGTGACATTTTTGAATATTATTAATTATTGTTAGAAATATTGTACATCAAAGTGACCAGCCACTTTAAAGGCTATAGAAGAAATATAGTACCTGTTTATATTTTAGTTTATTTTTTTCGTGGTGCTAGGGATCGAACCCTGAGTCTTGTGTGTGCTAGGCCATCCGAGCCACATGCCCAGCTCTGGATTCTGTTTTTACCTGAAGGCTGATGTGTTGTGTAGTCCCTGTGCTTCACTTGGGTATCATACTGCATGACATTACTGTATTATTTTATTTGTTAACAAGTGATTAAACTGTAATGTATTTAAAGTATATTTTATAGGCAACTCTTTTTACTGTAACCTTGGTCATAAACAGTGCATTCCTTAGTTCTTAAAACTTTTCCTCAGATGCCCTCAGGTAAATACAACCTAGAATTTATAATACCATTCAATCTTTTTAGATGTCACAGTGGTACTTTGAAGAAATATGTCTATATTCTTTGCCTGGGGCTTTCGTAATTGGTCCGCGAGTTCAGAGGAGTCTGCTCCTTGGCAGTGAGGGAGTCTTCCTGATGACTTGAGAGCTCCTCAGGGTGGAGGACCAAGCAGAAGCATCTCTGCTGTGTTGGCGTATCTTTAGATAGAAGCGGAACATGACGGTTTCCCTAGTTTTAGAGCACCAAGCTTTTGACTGAAACAATGCAAAATGCTTTCTGTCTATTCCTGAGCTTGTAGTGAAATTTCATGATTTTTTACAGCAAGAGTTTTCCTTTCTCAGGTTAGATAAAACCTGTGGTAAGCCCTTTCTTCTGGTTCAATCAGTTTGAATTATTTCAGTAAAGTTTTCAGTTGGAGACAGTAGTTTAAGGAGTATTTTTCCTTTTTTAGCTGTTAATGTGAGCCTTCTGAAGCATTTGGGATTATAGCAGAATAAAGAGTTCTGTGAAAGGAAGTGCTTATAAAGTCGACAAGACTAGTCTGTTTTACTATTCTAGTAACCGAACTTTCCCCCTTTTCTCTTAGGTTCTTGATCATTACGGATCACTTTCTGAAAAGCCCGGAATTGGTGCAAGCCATGTATGCCAAACTGAGCAATCAAGAAAGGTAACCCCAAAACCAGTGTGGTTTGAGTATTTAGCATTCCATATGGTGCATCCTGCTGCCGGACTGAGAAGTTGTGTGGTTTCCTGGTTGGCACAGACCTCTAAGTACATGCTTCTGTGTTGGTGCTGGTTTTAAATTGCTTGGCTGACATTATAGCTTGACCACAGTAGGCAGTGATTTACGTAGAATTGCAGGATTCAGGTTGGTGCCGTTATGCAGTAAAAGAATATTTAAAAAAACAGAAAACACTTCAAGAACAAAATGTTATGCTTGTGCCTTAATTTTATAATAGTGATTTATGCAGCTGTGTATTATATAGATGTGCATTTGACATGTGCTCATTTGTTTATATCGTGGTCTGATTATGTGGAATATGCTCTGCTAGGTTTATAGTTTTATTTTTTTTTTGGTTTTAATTGTCGATGGAGTTTTATTTTATTTATTTATATGTGGTGCTGAGAATCGAACCCAGTGCCTTACACATGCTAGGCAAGTGCTCTGCCACTGAGCTACAACCCAGCCCCTAGGTTTATAGTTTTTGATAAGTAATTCAGATGAAAAGAAAATTGTATCTGCCTGGGGCCCTTGGCTGCTGTAGCACCAGGTGCTGAGACCTTGTTCAGGCCTCCTTGTGACGGCAGTCCTTCATATGGCTGTAGTGGGGACTTTTCGCCTTGTTCGGATTCAGTTTCTTGACTTGTAAAATAAGAGGTTTGAAGAAAATAATTTGCAGGACATTTTCTGTTCTAATAGTATGTGTCTTATTAGAAGTATTGCCTTAGGAAAAATAAAGTTTTCAGAAATCACAGATCTAATGATCAAAAACTTAAATATTTTACAACGTTTTAAAATCATAAACAAAGTCTTTATAATTGCATTGGTTTTGGAATTATTACTATGTATTTATGTTCCAGTATTTAAGCTTTACACACTTTGTAGGTTTTTGCTAAGTAAAAAGTCTTCAACAAAAAAGAAAAGTTCATGCTTGAAAAATCAGTTTAAATACCGGTTTTATAAATTTGGTACTCCCACCCCCCACTGCTACCATATACTTGCATTCATTGAAGAAAAATAATAATTTATATTGTTTTGACCTAAAATAAATGTATAATATTTAGTACTAATATTTGCTAATTGCTTTGTAGTGGGGAACACCTGACTAAAAGGAGAATGCAGCAGTTAATTGTAGTTTAATATTCAAATTTCTATCTTCCATGTTCCTGCCAAATTTTATATACTTATATATAGTTTTTGAAATGTATATCACATTGTGTGTGTGTGTGTGTGTGTGTGTGTGTGTGTGTGCGCGCGCATGCGCACTTAATCACTGAGCCACATTCCTAGCCCTTTTTATATTTTATTTTGAGACAGGGTCTCACCGAGTTGCTTAGGGCCTCGCTAAGTTTCTGAGGCTGGCTTTGAACTTGTGATCCTCCTGCGTCATCCTCCCGAGTCACTAGGATTATAGGTGTGTGCCACCGTGCCGACCAAATGATATTATTAAACTAATCCATTGCAGAACTAAATTGGATGATAAACTAATGACTTGTTGTTGTCACTCAAGGAACACCCACCTGTAGCAGGTACTTCCTTGTCCATGCCAGGTTCTGCTCTTGAGTCTCTAGTGTGTTCTCTTCCAGCTGTGTGCTGCCATCTCATCATGTTATTGTCAGGCACTGTGTCCCTGCTTGCTCGTGGCACACTGCCATTAGGTCATTGGTGCTTGAGGACAAGGACTTGATCCCTCTTGTTTTTTGGTGGCCACATGTCCAGTCAGTCCTGGGCACATAGCAGGTGCTCAAAAAAAGGTTTTTTGTGTTTGTTTTTTTTAACATTGAAGGCAAGAGTGAATGAATGAATGTTTTTACTCCTCCACGAAAGGCTTATCTAGTGGCCTGGTTAATGTGATACCATCTGCCAAGCTGGAGACCTCAACTATCCTCAGCCCTTCTCCTGACCTTTCCGTTTCACACCGGTCAGTGAGCTGCATCAGCTGCACCATCTCAGTGTCTTGACAAATTCTTTCCTTCTTGCCACAGCCTTAGTTGCTTTTGTGATGTCCTTGATGCACACACTGTGTTTTGTTTGTCACTCATCCATTGGTGGGCACGTCCTTATCTGGTGACTAGCTGTCATTTTATAGTTGTCCACTAAAGTGACAGTCTGGGGTGTGCAAGACTAGCCTGATGAGTAAGGCAAGAAAATGTCAGATCACCTACCCATATTTATCATTATCAGAAATTGAGTAAGTTTTAATGCCTAGATTGAGTCTTAATAGACACATAGTTTCTAGTTAAATTACAGATGTGGGAAGTATGTCATATGAATTTTTTTTATTGGTCAAAAAACCTATTAAGGGGCTAGGATTGTGGCTCAGTGGTAGATTGCTTGCCTAGTACGTGCGAGGCCCTGGGTTCGATCCTCAGCACCACATAAAATAAAATAAAATGAAGATATTGTGTCCAACTACAACTAAAAAAAAATAATAAAATATTAAAAAAAAAAAAAACCTATTAAGTCAAAGCATGTTGTTGCCTGATGGATTGTCCCTGTGGAGATTCCGTGAGTTTCTGTGTGTTCTGAATGCCGAGGCACCACAGTTACGTGGTGTCTGATATCAAGAAAGGGGCACTGCTGTTTTGTAGCATTTCGTATGTAGGTGGTAATGATATTGTCGTTCTGGAGTTAAGGGTCTTAGGGAGGCAGCAGAGATTTCGTCTCTGTCCATGTGTTCCTTTGTGCCCAGGGCAGGAAAGGTTGGGACTCAGAGGAGGCACATCTGGGTTGCTTCAGGATGGAAGTTGGGGGAAGGATCTGCTATTCTTGGGCCGCAGACAATAAGTTATAGCACTTTTAGGAATAATGAGAATTTAAAGTGATATTCTAGAATTAGATCTTGGTCTTCCCCAAAATGCTTATTTTATATGCAAATATGTGGTTTAATCAGAAATTTAACATTTAGTTGATCACATTCTAAATGTAAGAAAGGTCACTGTAAGAACCAGTTCATCTTTGTTCTGTCTTTTGTGCTATTGCATAGTAACTGCTTTTTCTATGAATACATTACCGTTGAAAACATTTATACTTTTCCCTTACATTTGTATATAGTGCTTGTTAACGTAGTTCAGGGATGTTCCTTCCTTCCTTCCTTCCTTCCTTCCTTCCTTCCTTCCTTCCTTCCTTCCTTCCATCCTTCCATCTTTATTTATTTTATTTATTTTTATGTGGTGCTGAGGATCGAACCCAGGGCCTCACATGTGCGAGGCAAGCGCTCTGCTGCTGAGCTATAACCCCAGCCCTGGTCAGGGATTTTTCTAAGCACTTGACAGATGTTAATAAAACTCTCCTCCACCCTAGAAGATTTGTACTGCTGCTGTACCTGCCTAGTCGATGTGGGCACTGGGGAGGAGTCCTATGTGGCTGCACCAGCTTGCAGGGGACAGGCGGCAGCCTAGGCTTCATGCAGCTGGTCTGACTCCAGTCCCTGTCAGTAACCGTAGTATGATGCTGCCTCAGGGAAGTCCACTATGGTCAAATGATATTCATGTTATAGTGAGGAATTTAAAACGCTCATCAGCACACAGGGTAAGGACCTATAAATCACTTAGTTTTAACATTTTTAAGAGAAGATGACCTTTCTCTCCTAGGGTTTATTTCTCCTGAATGTCCATCAGTCCACGTACTTCGCTAACACCCACATGGCAAGTGTGACCCTTTGGGTGCCACGGTCAGTCGATCCACTGCTGCCTGTTGGTTCAGTGAGTGAGTGAAGAATGGATGTCGAGCCTCAGTGTTACTGAGATTGGATTTTAATGGCGTGGGCTTTATAGCTCACACCTGTATGGCAGTGGGGCTTCACCAGATGGTAGCCTCAGCAAGACTCTTCTAAAAGCAGCAAGCAGAAGTTTTCTGGCTCCAGATTGGTACCTTTGTTTCTCGTGCCTTATAAATTACATATGTATTCACGGGAGCAATGTATCATACTAGCAAATTTTTTTGTAAATATATGTGATCACATAAGATTGAAGACAGTGGGGTCTAAATGCAGAAGGACATGCAAAAGGAAAAGACCAGGGGTAAAGGAAAGACACAGGCACCAAACCCCTCTATGGGTTTTTTTAAAAAAGTATTTTTTAGTTAAAGATGGACACAGTACCTTTGTTTATTTATCTTTATGTGGTTCTGAAGATTGAACCCAGTGCCTCCCCCGTGCTAGGCGAGTGCTCTGCCACTGAGCACAACCTCAGGTACCCCCTCACCCCGTGGTTTTAGTGAAAACAAAATTGTGTTACTTGATTTACTTCAGTGAGTTATGTTGAATGCCTAGTATGAACAAGGCTCTGTCCTGTGTTCTTGAAGGAGATGCCAGGGTGAACATGCCCAGCCTCCGGCCATGCAGCCTCTCAGTGAACTGCTGGAGACGACTATGGGAAAAGTGAGCCGTAAAGTGAGCGTGTTGTTAACCATATTGGAAGACACGTCTGCGGAGGGGCCAGGGTGGGCGAGGAGCCCGGGTTGGGTACAGCGGTCCCTCAAGGCTTCTACGGCAAGTGGACCTTGTGAGAGGTGCGCTCAGATCCTCCAAGGTCCTGCCAGTTCTGTGCCAACAAGAGGGCCCTCTCCATTGGCAGAAATGGCACAGCAAGAACAGGTGGAATCCTTGGGTGTGTTTGGAGAATACTGAAAACTGCACTTTGTGGAATAGAAGATATTCTCAAGAGAGCAGTGGGAGAGAGCACTAAGTGGGAGGTCAAGGCTGAGTTTTGTTTTGGTCACAAAGTTTTTCTATTCATTCCACGAACATTTATCGAGTGCTGCTGAATACCCTGGCAGACCCCTGCTGCCACTGTGCTTGCTTTATGTGGGAGTGCAACGGAGCAAGGGAGCAAGCTGTGAACTCTGCCAGCAACTGAGGGGAGTTGTGGGTGGGGCCCCTCAGTGTCCAGAGAGCCCTGTGGAAACTTGAGTCCTGGGGCTGTGGGATAGCCCAGGACCCAAGGACAGGGAGCGCTGGGGCCAAGCTGAGTGGGTTGCTGGTAATTTCTACCAAGCAAATACTAACACCAGTTCTTCACAAACTTGACCAAAAATAAATAAAAACAAAATCAACTCATTCTGCACAGCCAGCATTAATCTGATGCCAAACAGGGTGTGGGGAGGCATCACAAAAAGACAACTACGGACCAAAATGCCTGGCCGTCCTCCTGTGTGGGTTGGGGTTGGTCTGGCCTTATGGCCCAAGGATGGCCATTGTTTTTAAGATTATATATGAACAGGGGAGAGCAGAAGCATCTTGGCATTATCTCAAGAGAGGGACTGTGTGTTTGCTTGTTTTAATTTTGATTAGTAGTTGCTATAAGAAAGCTGTGATTAGGGGGAGGTTTTTTTTTTTTAAGATGTTGATGGACCTTTATTTTATTCATTTATTTATATGCGGTGCTAAGAATTGAACCCAGTGTCTCACACATGCAAGGCAAGCGCTGTACCACTTAGCCACAACCCAACCCTAGAGGGAGTTTTGAACATTCTGACCTATAAGTGATTTTTCCTGTTTTGACCATGCTGGCTCTATTTTACTTGAAGTAGTAGACAGTTTGTGTTACTCTTGGTAAGGAATGTTCACTGAAGTACATTTCCGCCCATTTACTAAACATTTTGGGTGCTCATTCTCTTTCTGGTTTAAAAATAAATGAGGATTATGCATATAATCCCAAATCAAAATGTGATTTTCATCCAAGGTCTTTTTTGATCTATGTGGATAGATTAGCCTGTTGGCCATTAATTTTTCCTAAGATCATTGATTATTCAGTGGAGATCATTGTTTGATTATTTAATTATTGATATAAAAGTGGCATAGGTTGGCCTTCAGAATTGTGTTTTGGTAAACAAAAATAATTAAACGCAGAAGAAAGCTGGCCTCTCAAGGAAGGCCATGAAGTGAGTGGGGAAAGCATGGGCCACTGGCTGTGGGGGTGCTGGCTCAGCTCCTCGGAGAGGTGACTCTGCGCGGGTTAGGTGACCTCACCGAACCTTTGCACCTTTGCGCACCTTTGCACACCTTTGGTATGAGGTGAATGACAGGACCTGCCTCCTCGGGCTTTCTGTGAGGATCCAATGAGATCCTGTGTGTAGAATGCCTGTCTCGACTCTAAGTAATGGATAAATGTCAGCCCCGCCACCTGGCTGCTGTTCCTGTGGCTGTGTTCACAGAGCTCAAACTGACCACGCACGTAGTGACAGGTATGAAAGGTGCGTTAGTCTTGCTTCCATAGCCAAGTAATAGCAGAGAAATCAAAATTTTGAAAAATAGGTAGTGGATGAAGATTAGCTTTTATTCATAAAATTTTCCTAAACATTATAATAAAGTAAGGAATTTATAATAAAAATATCACCTTAAAGTTGTCTGTGTAGGTGTTTCTGGTGTGCTACAGTTTTGGTAGAGCTATTTTATGTTCACAGGGTCACACTGCTTGACCTCATGATAGCCAAGTTGGTGGGAGACGAGCCGTTGACCAAGGATGATGTGCCAGTGTTTCTGCGCCACGCTGAGTTGATTGCAAGCTCCTTCGTGGATCAGTGCAGGACTGTGCTGAAGCTGACCTCTGAGCAGCACACTGAGGACGAGGTAAGTGCCTCGGGTGAGGGAGTAAGCAGGCTTTCCGACCCAGTCACTCTTCTGGGAGAACTCACTCTGAGAAGCTTGGAAGGATGGCCTTGAGTCCTGTGCCTTATGCTGGGGTACTTAAAAAAATGCACATGAGGGAAAGCTGTGCCCTTGTTCCTGCAGGCAGAGTCAGTGACTTTCAAAGTGGCCTGCACATTTTTCAGGGCAGATAACGTCAGATCCATGTGTTCCTAGGTGGACATGTCGGTGGAGTTGTTCTGCCACCAGCTTGTGAGTTGGCTTTCTTCTGAATGGCAGCTTTGTGAGGGTAGGAGGTGGGTCATCGTCCTGGTACTGAATGTCCATAGTGGGCACTTAGCAAATATTTGCTGAATAAATAAGGAGTAGTACATTGTGAATATCTTTTAAAAATGTCATTACAAACATTCCAGGTAAAGAATTTCCCATAATTTATTTGACCAGCTGCCTGTAGGTGGACATATAGGTTTGCTAGTTACTTCTACTTATGGTAAATGGTGCTGTCGTAGATATCTTTACAGTTCATCTTTTTACATCACTAACTCACATTACTAACCTGGGAGATCCTTGCAGTGCAGTTGCTAGGTATGCAGTATATACCTTTCAAACCTTTTGGTATCTATAACTATTTTCTACCTTCTAGAAAATTCACTTCTCCTAGCTATTGTGGGAGCTTTCCAGTTGTACCACCTGCTGCCCCTCTCGGCCACTCCAGGTGGCTTTCTTCCCTCCAGCCTACCCTTGAGCACTGGGCCTGGTCTCTGTGGAGGGCACAGGCCTAGCTGGCATCACTTCTGTTCCTGCCTCTTCGCTGGAGAGTCTCTCTTTATATGTACCTATTCCTCCTTCCCTTTCGAGGTAAGGTTGGAATTGTTCTTTTTCTGGAAATCTGCTCAGTAGACAAAAGGAGTGCTCTCTGCTACTGTCGCAGGGAGGACTCCATATGCAATGGGCCAGAGAGCAGGCATCGGGCTCCCGTTCTGTGAGACTGGAGCAGACCAGACCTTCATGCCACCAGGGCTGAAGCCAAAGGCAGAGGGATAGGAGAGGACTTTTTGGGTAACGGAAGTGCACACACTGCTGTGCACTTGTGGGTGAGATTTACTGCATCTGAGTTATACCTTAGTAGAGTTGATTTGAGTTTGAACATATTTGAAAAAAACATGGTAAGTCTGTTGTGTGCTGATTGGAATGGGCCAGTGGAGTGGAGTGACTGATGCTGGCAGTAGGCGGACAAGTTGGTGGAGGGATTGGAATCCTAACCCTACCACTGCCAGGGAGGAGCAGAGAGCACAGAAGTGGCACAGCCATCCCAGAGTGCTGTGTGCAGCGGTGCAGAGCCCTCAGCTCCTGTGGTTGGTGCCGCCGTGACGGTGACTGTTCTGCACGAGAGCGGGTTTCTGTGCCCGTGCTTTGGCTCAAAGCCACTTTGCTGTGGGTCTTCTCTGCTAGGTCACCCAATCAGGTTCTGGCTCACTGACCTTTTCTGTGGTAGAGAAGAGGGAGGTCCTTTCTCACTCTTTGCATTTGCTTTCTGGGGATAGATTTCCCTGTTTCCAGCAGGAGGAGCCGTGAGCTGTGCTTCAAAAAGTTTTAAAAATTTCTCTAGGAGACAGGAAGACATAACACTGCATTTGTTAAGTCACAGCTTTGGTCCATTCCCAGGACTTGTGTTGAAAGCATTTCAGTACTGTAGTACGGAGTTACTTAGTGGGTTTTTTTTTTTAAGGAAAATTTATGTTTTCCCCTTAAATAGTTGTTTCTCTAAGGTGGGAGGAATTATATGTTAATGGAGTAGGAAAAGCTGAGATAAGAAGTGCATCAATCTGTACACTCATGACTCGTGCAGATTAATGCACACTCGCTGTACTTCAAGATAGGTGCAAAAGTAAATAAATAAAGTAAATGCCACAGTAGTTCTTAAGAAGACCCCATGTGTGTGTTTAAAATAGTTCCCAGTGTAGTTGGCCTGGCCTGCACCAGCTTCTGAGTTGGGTACCACACATCGAGGATTTGAGCTAGGTGTCCATGGTTGGCTGGAAGTCACCTGTGGCGGAGGCATCTGTGCACAAAAGTCAGTGAGAGCTACATCCAGGGCTCACTTCTCTCCCCTCTCAGCAAAGCCCACGCTCACACATTGGTGGCACTCTTGCAGATGAGGTAGTCAATGAAGTTCTCATAATGCAGTGGCTGGAAAGTGAGAGTGAGAAGGGTCATATTAATTGTGTTTGTTTTTTAACTTATATACCTGGTCATAGAACCCCAAGTTTTGTGCACGTGTTCTTTTATAGAATTCATCTTGGGTTCTCATGTCAATGCGCCTGCTCTTGTTTCCAGGTTGGATACATCTTGTCAGCTCCAGAATGCTTAATCTGTAAGATCTGAGATTTAGTTTCCCACATCTTGTTTACTGCTCATGAGCCTTGCCTTTCCTCTGAATGCTCAAAAAACATTTCTTTTAACTTCATATTTCCTTACATCTGTATGTGGTGAGAATTATTCTTAGTTTGTAGGGTTTTCATTCTTTGCTCTTGCAACTCCATATTAAATCATTTTACACAGTTGGCATTTAATGTATATTAGTGGAATAAGTAAAAATAGTGTTGTTTTATTCCATTTTGATAAGGGCTTAAATTATTGCATTATGCAAATAATATTTTCTCTGTTGTGAAAAATTATTTAAGCTAGAGCAAAGTTAAGAAGTTTCCTTCCTTTTGCCTAGCCCCTATTTTTTACAGAGCTATTTGCATGTATTTCTGTTTTTTTTCCTAAAGATATTTGTTGCATATACACACAACTACATGCTTTTTATTTCCTTTTTCACATTATTGCATATGATGTTCTTTAACTTGGTTTGTCACTTACTTGTGATAAAACTTATATATCTTTCCATCTTAACATGAATGCACTTGTTAATATTTGAATAGCATCTCACTATTTAGATGCACCATGATTTTTTTCATTTGTTTCTTATAGATACTTCAGTTGTTTCCAGGGTTTTCTTTTTTCCCCCCATAATTGTAGTTGGACACAATACCTTTATTTTATTTATTTTTATGTGGTGCTGAGGATCGAACCCAGGTCCTTGCATGTGCTGGGTGAGCACTCTACCGCTGAGCCACAACCCCAGCCCTCCAGGTTTGATTTTTAAAAGAAACTTTTTAAAATAATGCTACAGTAAATATCTTTCTAGGCATTTCTTTGCAATTTTGGACAAGTAAATCTGGGATTATCAATACCTAGAAATTGAATAACAGGTCAGAGAGTTACATTTTAGAGACAGTTCTAAATGAAAGAACACTGCAGTGCAAGACTGTGGGTCACAACGGTCTTAGTCAGCTTTCTCACTGCTATGAATAAAGGACTTGACCTGAACAATTGTAGAGGAGGAAAAGTTCACTCAAGGGCTCATGGTTTCAGAGGTCTCGATCTAGACAGTGGAGTCCATTCCTCAGAGCTCAAGGGAGGCAGAACATCTGGTGAAAGATTGTGGCAGAGGGAACCAGCTCACATGATGATCAGAAAGCAGAGAAGTCTTCACTTGCCAGATACAAATATACACTCAAAGCCAAACCCCAATGCCCACCTCCTCCAGCCACACCCACCATTTGATTTAACCACTCAGTTAATCCCTATCAGGGGATTAATTCTCTGATTGGGCTCATCTGCTCACAACCTAATCATTTCTCCTCTGAATCTTCTTGCATTTTCTCCCAGATGAGCTTTTGGAGGGACACCTCACATCTAAACCATGACACAACCTTTGCAAATCTGACTAATTACATTTCTCTACTGTTTTTCAGGGCCAGTATGTTCATTTATTTTGCATATTAGGTTATCTTTGACATTGATAGTTAATTTTGTTTGAATTTATTTGTAGTGTATTTAGCTTTTAGAATTTTTTGTTTGTTCTTAATGTAGTTAGGCTTATCAATGTTATCCTTAATGACCTGAATTTTTTTTGTCAAATTTAGAAATTTAGTAAACTTCTCCACTTACAACGTGGACATATATACCTGTAAACCCCATTTCTTTCAGTTCCTAGACCACACTTTTGATTAATATAGAATTTATTTTTAGATAAGAAATGATGTGTGGATTCAAATGGATTATTTATGTCCTTTGACTGTGGAAGATTTTATAAAGTCCCTGGTATGCGTCGGGGTGGGTTTGAGTATGTCTGTATTGCTGGCATGTGGACTTGCAAGTCTCCCACCTCTGCATGCCTGTTTTCTGTGCATGTAAGTGGGGTGTCCTTGAGCGTGAACTTTTACTCTGCTGAGCAGTACATACCCCTTGCTTCTCAAATGCTGACCTGTTACCGAGTCAGATCATGTAGTGAACAGCCCACTGTTTTCACTGCTTTTAGTACTTTATGATGTAGTAAGCTGCTGCATACGTTTGGATCCATTTCTAGATGTTCAGTTTTTATAGAAGGAGCCAGTACGATGTTAACTGGAGAAAGGAAAACGTAAAGAACTGCATGTTTGTATGTAGCAAAGGGACGTTTAAATGAACATATGTCCATGTATGTTTGTTACATGCACGTAAAATGTATTTAATGAATACATGCAGAACTGGCCTTTGCAGAAGGCAACGATTAATTACATTCTGTCCTGATACAACTAATTTGCATATCTTTGGGCAAAAATATTGGCATCATTTTTATTCTTATATCACTTACAAAGGTTTAGAATGGCTCAAACGCTGAAGGTTAGAGAGATGAGTTGGACCAGGAGACCAGTCTTTTTTTTTTTTCCTTTTGCCCTTTCAAAATGTTTTGGAATGTTGCTCCTTTTGTTTGCGTATGTCTCTCAGTACCTGATTTAATTAATATAGTTTTAGGGTACTTTTAAATATCTGGAAGGACATTTTACTCGTTACCCTTAGTTTTTTAAGAGTGATTTTCCTGGCTGTTAATTTTAATTTCCAGATGCTCATTAGGAACACATTATTAATAAAAGGACTTTAATGATGAAAATTGGGCATGTTTAGGTGGGGATAAATTAATTTTCTTTTGGGTTTATTTTGGTTAATATCATAGAATTTAGGGACTGGAAAGACACTTTCAGTGCATGTCTTTCAACCCGTCTCATTGTCTCTTTATTTCTGTCTTTTAATCATGGAAAATTCCAAACAGACTAAGAGAAGAAAGTGTAGTGAAGCTCAGTCAGCCGTCCCCAGCTCCAGTGTCCTCATTCATTCTTTTCCTTTTTTCTGGTTCATTCTCTGTGTGTGTGTGTGTGTGTGTGTGTGTGTGTGTGTGTGTGGTGCAGGGTTGAGCCAGGACCTCAGGCCTGCTGGGCAGGGCTCCCCCTGAACTACTCCAGTCCCACAGTTCACTCTTGTTTCATCCACAGACTTGTACCCCTAAAAGATGAGGAGTCATCAGACACAAGTGCATCATAAATGTACCTATAAAGTTTAACAGGAAAATTTTAATACCAGATAAATAGTGTACAGATTTTCTCCATTGTCTGATAAACTTTTTTCGAGTTCTTTTTTTAAATATGGATGCAGATAATGGCCATGCCTACAGTGGGTTAGGTCTCCACCTTCCTTGAATACCTAGGCTTTCCTTTCCTCCTCTCCTCTCCCGTGTGCTAGCTGCAGCTAAGGTGCCGGCGTCTTTTCCTGGGGTGTTGCCTACGGTTCCGATGTTGGTGTGTGCGACTCTGGTGGGTTCTGCCTGTGGAAGAGGGTTAGTTCTTGAGGTGTGTTTAGATATGGGTTACTGTTTTGCAGTTGTGTTTCGTTGCTGTGGTGCCCACTTTCAGCAGAGCTGCAGAATGATTGGCCTTCTATATCTGAGGTGTTGGTGGGCCTTGATGATTACTTCAATCTCCCAACTGTTGAGATGTGAAGCCTTGGCATTTTGACTGTCACAGTCATTTGTCACTTATTAGCAGGCATATTTTATAAAGAGAAACTTTCCCTAGCCAACTGTTAGGCTCCAGACAGTATGGTTTAGTTAAGGCAAGGAAATGCTTGATTGCCCCTTGATTCAGTCTTCAGAGTAATTGGTCAGTTCTGTGCCCTCACCCCAAGGTGACCAGTGAGCTGGTTTAATTAATTATCTTTGTGGCATCATGACTTTAAAACTGCCTGGCTTATGTTGAGTTGTGATTCTTCCTGATGTTTTTCACTCGTTGATGACTCTGGGGTCTCTCTCAGCTTCCTCGCCACATGGTGTCTGCACAAGCTCTGCCTCACCCCAATCAGCCAGCTGTTTCTCCAGGAGAAATGGGAAAGAGGGTGCCGGAGCCCTGAGACATTCATGCATTAGCTCAAGTCTCCATGTTCAAAGTACAGTTTGAGAGTTCTAATCTAGATTCCCCCCCACCAACTCTGTAATTAGCAAGTAAAGCTATGAAGTAGAGTTAAAGATCCAAGGCATTAGAAATGTGCTATTTCTTGCTATTTATTTTATGATTTCTAGATTAAGATATTACCTTTAAATGTCCTAATTAGAGAATAATAAGTACATGTTTGGTATTAACAAAGTAATTTATCTTTCTTTTGAAGAATGTTATCTTTATGACCTAAGCTTATAGTCTCTACCACATTTTGTCAAATGCTTTAACAGTGGGGCTTAAAAGTTCTATAAAAACTGCTTCTTTGAATTCCATGTAGACCACCTAATGCCATGAAGCTGGTATGTGGTAGCTCCTTGTCATGCAGTCTGTTTGATGTAGATCGTTTAGTAGTTATGTGAATTCACATGTTCAAATAATATTATCTTTTCCAACCCAGCAAGATACTGCATATAAGTTTTTATTTACCCAGAAATAATACAGAGATCTTGAAGCCAGAGTTTGTCAACCACAACACTTTACAGGATTCCTGTGGACAAGAAATTAATGTATTTCATGGGATATTTGCATCTTTAAAGTAGAACTTGAACACTGGGAACGCTTTAAAAAGAAAGTATTTGCATAAATGTTATGTACGCGTAACTAGTAATTTTGAACATTTATCCCGCTGTTGGAAGGTATTTTTGCTTGAATAAGAACTTTTCTGACTCTTTGCTCCAAGAAGACACATAATGACACATAATCTTGCATTCTCCCTGGCAGATGTCTGCTGTTAGGGAGATGATTATTTGAGGACATATTTAATACTTCTATTTTGTTTTGCATGGTTCAGTTTCTCCTTTCAGTAATTACATTACTAAACGCAGTGTTACATGTTACTTTCATATTTAACGTTGTATTCCATTCTCTCATAGTGATCTATAAAATGAAATCATTTAGCTTCTCACATACTTTGCAGGAGGCTCTGGCCACCATTAGGCTTCTGGATGTGCTGTGTGAAATGACGGCCAACACCGAGCTGCTAGGCTATCTGCAGGGCTTTCCTGGCCTGCTGGAACGTGTGGTCGGTGAGTGAAGTACACACATAGTGTTTTTAGTTAAGAAATCTCTGACTCGTCATGCTGCAATGTAAATCCAAACACAGGTTCTTAATTTTCAGTTTTCTGATGCACTTTGAGGGTTTTGGGTATTTCTTCTTGAGGGGAGTCATGTGTTGTGGTACTAGCTCAGGCTTCAGAGGCTGGTGGACCTGAAGCCACATCAAGTTTCACCACTTCCCTCCTGTTGACCTTGGAACACCTGCTCAGGAAGATGGGCACAGTGAGACTGTGGTGCGGGTGCTGGCAATGGGTATGTCACCAGGAGGCACGTGACCAAGATGATGGGGAAGGGAAGAGGGGAGGCTTGTGACCATGAAGATGATTTTATTTTTTTATATTACTTTAACTTGATGAAACTTGGCAGGAAATTTTTCACAATTTTATTTACTGAATGCATAGAAAAGTACTTTATGTGTGTAATATATTCTGTTCTTACAGGAAAGCAGTTTTAAGCAGAAAGCCGTTATTTGAAGTATTACTATCTTTACTAAAAAGCTATTTGGAAAATAATTCAAATGGAACCTGCTCCTTGTGGTTAGCCGAGCTTTGGTGTTGGTCATCTCTGTTCCCTGCTTTCTTCCATTAAAGAGGCCACGTTTATGCTCGAGGCCCATCGACTAAGGAAAGTGACTTTGTATCAGAGGCTCAGATGCCTAGCAGTCAGCTGCAGGAGGTGCTAGAATCCCCTCCTGGGGTGCTATTTTGAGTGCAGTGCTTTTAGTGATAATCAAAATAAAACACCGCCAACCTAGAATCCTTGTGGAGCCAGGACGAGTGTGGGTTGCCATCCCACTCTGCCAAGTTACTAACTTCTCTGAGTGTGATTTCTCCATTATAAAACTGGGAACCTGATGTCTGCCATTACTAGGTTTGGCGAGAGGGTTAAGTGAAATAATGTGGAAACACGAACTCACAGGTCTTAGAAGATCATCTGTTTTCCTAGGCTCTGGAGAGGTATCCACAGAGTATAACAATGTTATTTTTCTGACTGTGGCTAAAGGAGGTCTGTCTTGGATTATTTGACTATCAGAAGTGGAAAGCTCTCTTGGTTCTGTGGTGTGGTTTGTTACAGACATGGGTTGTGATTTTAACTTAGCTGACTCGTTATCAGATGAGTTCTTACAGAGAGAAAGATGTGTGTGTGTGTGTGTGTGTGTGTGTGTGTATGATATTTATTTATTTTGGTAAGGAAGATATTGGGAAATTTTTATCCAACTTTTCTTTGTAGGTAAAGTAGAAAGTCCAAATCAAGGTAAATAATTATGGCTTATCTCCCTAAAACTAGAGTCAAAAAAATAGAATGCAAAAGCAGAAGAGCCATTTAATCATTATTTAAAGAAAGCTTTCAGTACTCTATCTTTATTCGTTTTTAATGCATTAAAATAAATTAGATTTATTTATGGAAAGCTAGTACCAATACTAAAAAATATTTTCTTGTGTAAAATAAAGTTTATTTATCTTTTTCATTCTAGATCTTTTACGACTAATTCATGTAGCTGGAAAAGATACCACAAACATCTTCAGTACCTCTGGTTGCATAAAAGCAGAAGGTGACATCTCAAATATGGCCGAGGGGTTTAAATCTCATCTTATTCGCTTGATTGGAAATCTGTGTTACAAGAATAAAGATAACCAAGACAAGGTAAGATGATTTATTAGTATGTGTCATTCGTGCTTTGCTTTATTTAGAGTTTAAACTACATTATGTTTTTGGAGTGAAAAATTGAGGTGGTTAGAAAATAGATTGAGGAGAGATACATAAATTATATATGTAACATCAGTGAAAACAAACATATATTATTCCCACAAATAAACACAGTAAATCATATTTGTTAATATTAGGATTGTGTTTTTTTCTAATTTCGTGTTATTTTTGACCTGAGTTGGAGCTAGTTTCTTTTCCTGTACATTACTGATGTTTGTTCACAGCCTGGGCATTTGAACACTGTTATGTCTCCCAGTCAATGAAAATGTGTTTGATAGGCCTAGACAGTTTCTAGCACAAACTATGCATTAAAGAAACACTAGTTATTTTGATATTTATTCTAAGAAAAAAACAAAACAAAGGTCCCTTTAATTTCGTCTGTGTTTTACATTTACCAATGATGTTACCATTTTTGGCGTAGCTCTTAATTGGTCTGGCGGATCCTGTATCTAAGAAGCTTTTCTTCTGTGTGTTTTGAGGTGGACATATATTTTTAAGTCTTAAGTCTTTGGAAAATCAATAGATTGCTTTTAGAAAGCTCTTTGCTGAATAGTGTAGAGGCCATTATTTCAGTCACGGGAGAGAGTGAAGAGTTGCAGGATGGTTGGGTTGCATGTTTCACATTGAACTAGTTGTTTGTTGGAGTCTCTTGAAGTTCTACTTTTGAGTGACTTTTGTTTTGGTTCATTAAATGTGTGGCAGATTATATTTTCCAAGAAGTCTGCAGAAACATGTTATTTTACATATTTTTCTGCAGTGTGACTTTGTCACTCCCCCACCAAGGGTTGGCACCTATCTCTCCATCCCTTTGAATCTGTTCAGCTCCTGTGACTGCTTTGAACAATATACCATGGTAGGAGCCATTCTGTACCATTTTTGGCGTAGCTCTTAATTGGTCTGGCGGATCCTATTTCTAACTTTGTAGCAGCCAGTCACCATGTAAGCAGTGCTTGTTCCCTGAGATCACCATGATGGGACTTGGTGAGTCCCCATGGAGAGACCCTGGAGTATGAGATGTAATAAAGACACCTGTCAGGGAGCATCAGGGCACCAACTATGTGTGTGAGAACTCTGTTGGGAACAGATCCTGCCTTGTTTCCTTATGTGCCCAGCCGATGCCACACAGATTTGGCAAAGCCTTTTCTGAATTCATGACCCACAGCATTGTGAGAAAAAGTGAAAAATGGGGTGGGAGTCCGAGGTTCTCTTTAAGTGAATGGACTAGAGAGCTCCTATTGGACTTAATAGTTATAAACTCTGTACAGAAGACAGCTATCTGAAGACACTCAGATTTGACAAAACAGGCAGATTCTGGAGTGAAATTGACACTTTGAAAAAGGAAATGGTACAGTGTGTGCTATGCAGGGCAGTGGACGCTTTGGTAGTCTTTCAGCTTGAAAAACCAAAGAAGAGTGTGTGTGCAAACACAGCTATTGGAAATTGAGGGGAGGAGCCTGTAAAGGAGAGAGTGAGCCCCACAATCTATGTATCAGTTACTTAAATCCTTGCTGATTCCTGAATTACACATGTGGAGCAGGCTCCAAGAAGCTAAGCTAAGGACAAAATAATTGTGCCAAGATTTGAGCTTCTACTCCAGAATTCTCAGTTTGTTTCCAGCTAAGATAATTGCCCACCAAAACAAAAATATCAGTCACGCTCTTTAGAGGAATATAACTGAATCCAGAATTTCCATAGCATAATGTCTAGGATACAAACCAAAATTACTTGACATACAGGAAAATGTGTCCTATTCTCAAAAGAACAGATAATTGGTGGAAGCTTTCTGTGAGTTGATAAGGATTTTAAAACAGCATTTGTAGTCATGTTCAAGGACGCAGAGGAATTTGCATCAGATATCAATGAATGAAAAGATAGGATATCTTGGTAAGGAATAGAAAGTGTTAAAAAAAAAAAAAAAAGAACCAAATGGAAAATATAGAGTTGAAAAAATACAGTATGTGGAGTTAGTAAGAAATTACTGAATGCTTAACATCTAGATAGAAATGTCAGAGGAAAGAGTTAATATAAATGTGTTAGTAGGGTCATCCAGTCTGAAAAACAAAGGGGAATAAATATTAAAAATAAAACAAACATTTAAAAAGATACCATGTTTTGGAGTAAATATTAAAAATAAAATGAAGATTTAAAAAGATACTGCATTTTGGAGTAAACTGTTACGTAGTGGTTGGTACTGTTAAGGATTCTTTGAGGGCTGGGGTTGTGGTTCAGTGGTAGAGCACTCGCCTAGCACATGGAAGCACTGTCTTCAAACCTCAGCACCACATAAAAATGAAATAAAGATATTGTGTCCACCTATAACTAAAAAATTAAAAAAAAAAAAAAAAAAAGAATTCCTTTGAAATAACATCACAGCAGGAACCGTGTCCTTTTGTTAGCTGTCTGCATCCTTTGGCACCCTTCTCATCTCCAAGCAGGCATGAGTGTAAGACTACTAATCTGCCCTTGGAAAATCACTAGACTGATTTTTATTTTTAAAAAAAGTTGATAGAATAAGACATTTTACCTTTTTAATGACCAAGACTGCCTTTCTTGAGGAGCACAAAAGAAGTGTTTTTTCTTGTGTTTAACTACCCTTTTGTTGCTAATTTGGATTGGCCTCTTATAGGAACAAAATAGAGTAACCCTTAAAAGCCTTATGAAATAACTCCCTGAAGTGGGTGGGGATCAGGTTGCACCGTAAGTAAATACAGAGTGCGCCCAAGCTGCTGTGGAGGTCCTGGGGCCCATGGGAAGTCCACAGGGTGCTCTTACTTGTGTGGTGGCTCATTGCTTTGCTGGTTTCTGAGCAAACACTGCAGAGGGGAGGAGGGAGTCAACTCTGATATTAGAAGGCCTCCGTTTCGCCCCGTTCCTTCCCTGTGCCAACAGAGGCCTGAACCTGAAAGCATTACCTCGGAGGTGTTATTCTTTTTCCAAAGATTCAGAGGCAGCACTAAAATTGTATTTGGGATGTGTTGGAGCTTCTCTGCTCTTGTAGCTGAATCCTGATTCCAATCGGCGTTGTAAACCTTTTCCCTGCTCCTTGTTGCCTCCAGGGGTGGAGTTCAGGAGCACTCAGGTGGCTGCAGTCATGGTTTCTGGGAAAAGCAGGTCCTTATCCTTGGGCCCCTTGTTCTCACGGCATTGCCTGGGTGGATTGTTCCACTCTTTCCCAATTGGAGCCTGGGAGGATGTTTGCCTGTGTCTGCACTGAGACTGAAGATACAACGTGGGACTTTTGTGCCACCTCACCTAGCTTGGGTTCATCCTTCACCCAGAAGAACAAAGGCACTAGCCATGATTTATTTGTTTAGTGTCTGCTGTGTCCCCACATTGTACCCAGTGAGCTGCAGGTGTCACCAGCTTTAATCTTTGCCTTGGTCTTGAACAGCAGGTTCTGCCAACCACATTTCACGGAAGGCCATCCTCCTGGTGCGTTCCCAGGCCTGTGTTCCCTCTCCTACATCCTGGTGCCTCTCATTTGAGAGCTTTCAGAGAGTTTCAAGGAGAAGGTTTGAAATAGACCTCCCGGAGGGCTTCACAACAAAGGTGCTGCTAGCCATGTCTCTTGAGTCCCCTCCAGCTTTAACCCTACACTCTGGTGGTCCTCTCGGCTGTCTCCCATCATTCCTTTGTCAAATATGTGCATTCCCTTGATAGACAGGGCTTCTTCTCCTGGAAGGTTCCATTCTTGGAATACCTTGGGACCTTGCCTCCTTGACCCAGGATCTCAACACTGTGCATGACACAAGCTTTTCTAGAATTTTTGTTTCCTCTGGAGTTTGAGCAGAAGCCTTTCGAGTCTCTGCTCGTCTGTATCTCCTCATTCTCTGCGACAGTGTGGTGTCCACCTGCTGGATGGCACCTCTTCTCTCCTGTGGCCCTTCCCGTTATGGAGTCCTTTTCATCTTTCCCAATTCACTGCAGCCTGTGGGGCCTCTGAAGAAGACTGAAAAGATTTTGTCTTCATCGTTTTCTAAGTGAGGAAATCAAGGCCCTGAGAGGCTGAGGGAGCCCAGCCCGCTGCTTTTGAATGAGAACGCCGGGCTGCGTCGTCTTCATTCGGCAGCCATGTTAGTGGAGAGAGAGCAGGCGCATGTGTATGTGCACACCATGAGTGCCAGCTAAGGTCCACTTTCAGAGGCCTGTCCGAGAAGAGCCGCCAGGAGACACTGCCCTCTGGCTGGCCGGTCCCCTGAGCAGGGGTGTTCATAGGCTGGGAGAACCTCTTCTTTTGGGATTTGTACCCTTGAGCAAGGTATCAGAGTTGGGGTGATTGGCCTTAGGATTCCTGCTACCCATAGCCTTCCCATGAGGCTCGGGCTGTGCCTTCTGCACATGTGATGGGTTGTGGTGTTTTCTGAACTTAGAGCCCTCCTTCCCCAGGTCCCAGCAGGAAGGGAGAAGTCCCTCCTGACTGCTCCTCATACCTTATCTCTTGTCCTCAGCTTGCTTAGTGTTTCTTTGCTGCAGCTGCAATGACCAGTCTGCTTTTAAACCCTTGAACCCTGGGTGGAGATTTTCTGGCTTCTGTTAAAAGAGGCATGTGGGTGTTAATGCTGTGGCTGGGAGCAGAGACTCCTGGGCTCTTCCTGGAGTGACAGTGTGTGGCTCACTCTTTGCCTTCCCCTTTCTTCTGTTCTTCACCGATGACCCGACTTCTTTTTGAGTGAATGCTTTATTCAAAGAAAAAACCCAACTGTGCACAGCTTTCGCAGCAGCGTCACTTCCTTCAAGAACAGGTCAGGACTGTGTGGAGGAGTCGGCAAGTGAGCAGGACCCTGCTCGCCTCCAGCTCAGCAGTCATGGGCTTTCATTCACAGAAATCAAAGTCTCCATGATACATTTTTCATTAAGTTTGTTTAAATTGAACATAGTGCATGGAAAGCATTCAGTAAGTTTTTCTTGAACAACAGTCGATTTTTATATTGATGACT